CCCCCCTTTCTAGCGCGCAGTGCCCTGACCACGGAGAAAATGCAGCGCGAAGGTCAGGACGGGAAAAGTGCGTGAACGAGCGTGATGAAGTGGCGGAAGAAAGACGGGGACGGGGAGGAGGGAACTCGAGAAGAGCGACGATTGTATTGTTGTCTCTGCCTGTGAGACATCGAGGTTGTGTGTGAGGGAAGGAGACAGAAGAGAGAGGCGAACGAATGGGGCGATTGCTATCATCCCTTGCGGTGGCGGGCGCACAGCGCTCTCGCTCTCCCGCCCTCCACGGTCTCCCCTCCTCTCGCGGGCCACCGCCACACCACCGTCACACCACCGCCGGCCGCCAACAGGAGGCTCAGAACAAACACCTGGCGCGGGCCCTCCTCCTCCGGGACGGGACTCATCTCCCCCTCCAACCAACTCCAGGACGGGTCCAGCTACCCCTCCCCTTCCATCCCCCCGGAGAAATCTATTCAGATGTGATGCCGACGCGTGGAGGGAGCGAAGACACCCAAACATTGGGCTGATTGGACCGTCATGGAGGGTGCGTCTGCGGCCGCAACCCCTTCCCCCGCCCCTCCCCGCCGCGTCCTGCCCCACCTCACCGTGGGCCGTGTCGAGCTAGATTGATTTCACTAAGGTCCCATCCCAGCCCCGCCGCGACTAGGCCCGGCCACGGCCCGGCCCACGAGGCCGTGAGGAGAGGAGAGGCAAAGGCCTTTGAGGCAAGTTTCACGCCGGACTGCTGGGCCAACCGGCATTCGAAAACATAACTTTCTTTTTAACGGGCACAATTTACGGCAAGTGCGAGGCTTGTAAGGCTTTACGTAGGTTTAAAGGAAATTAATTAGAAATATGCTCAGGTACTAGAACGTTGTAAACAACCGGCTGAGGAAGAGAGAAACACGTAAGAGGGCGAGGGGGTAATCACTACAGAAAGTAGGTGTACACATTTCTATAAAAGTTAAAGTGAAAGCAATGAAAACTGAAAGAAAATGTGAACAAAAGTGACTTATCGTACGTTGATCAGATCAAAAATGAATCAAATAGAGAGGATATAGGCATAGAAATGAAGTAAACTTAGTAAAACGGTGAAAAAGTGAATAAAAGTGGAAAAGTGAAAAGTTGAGGTGTACGCATTTTCACGGAGTGATTACCCCCTCGTAAGAGGGTTATATGATGGTTATGATTCAGGGAAGATAAAATGCTCGAGGGGTGAAAAAAACAACGTGTCCACTACTAGCAGGAGCACGGTACTTTATACTCGGAGTCCTCCAGCAGGACTCTACTTTATATCTGCAATAAATATAGCGATATTGACCACAGCAGACCGGCGAGGAAACGAGCGGTCAACGCGTTGATTTACGCGGCAAGGCTGTGCCACCGTGAAGACCAGGCCCCCACCGGGTATTGGACAGTACACCCCAAAAATAATTTTCACCAGTGTTTAAGGTACACGTGTTCTCATCTTGATTCGCATGGAAAATAAGACATAAATTGGCGGGCTTGTCTCCGTTCTTCGTTCCTGCCAGTCGTGGGGAAACGGCGCGGCTAATTTGAAAATGAACTCCTTAAAAAAGGCGAGGAAGTGCCAGATGTGTATCAGTAGGGTACGACAACAACGACAAATAAACCAGCACTCGTTGCGCAGGTCGCGTGTCTCTCTGGGATGGAATAGAGGTGACGCATGGCCCTGTGACCAGCCCGCAGCAATGCGGCGGAGCAGGCGGCCCATCCTCCATATGTTCCGCCGTGTGTGTGTGTGCGCGCGCGCGTTTGTATGCGAGAGTCTACCCCATAAATTGTCTAATGCTGGCTAATTATTAACATTATCGCCGCACCTGGGGAATATTATTTGAGCCATGCGTTCTCATTAGCCTTGCTCTCGACGGGGGGTTGTGCAAGCCGGCAGCGCCAGCGTGGCGAAAGCGTGGCGTTAGCGTGGCGTTAGCGTGGCGTTAGCCCTCCACGCGTGTATTCTCCCAAAGCCCAGTCCAGTCCAGAATGGGTCATCCCCCAATGCGCCTGCGAAGCAAGGAAAAAAGCCACCGGCCCAACAGGCCCGCGCACGGGTTGCCTATCGGGCGGTCGCAGGCGCCTCCCCTGCGCGCCTGTGAGCTGCAGGATAGGCCACCGGCCCAACAGGCCTGCACACGGGTTGCCTACCGGGCGGTCGCAGGCGCCTCCCCTGCGCGTCTGTGAGCTGCAGGATAGGCCACCGGCCCAACGGGTCTGCGCAAGGGTTGCCTACGTGGCGGCTGCAGGCGCCTCGAGCGCGCTGAGCTCCTTGCCCGACGCCCTTCCCTTACCGTGCCCCCCGGTACGCTCGGCCATTGGTTATATAATTTTAAGACCCCGTCGAGAGCGGTGGGCATGGCTCTTATGGATGAGGTAGGGCCTGGGCGTCGAGCCTGCGGCCCACCAGGCCGGCGCAGCCAGGACCCTGACGAGGCTGTGGGGCCGGGGGAGATGGGGG